AAAAATTACCCAAAAATTTGGAAAGGTAGAGGAAAAAGCCCCAAATTTAAAATGGGTTGGGGGCTCGAGGGAAAAAACCCTTTTCCAGGAAGTTGGGAAATTTCCTTTAAAAAAGGAAAAAAAAGGTTCCATGATGGAGGGGGGAACATGGGGAAAAAAAGCCGGGGAAATTTTTGGGCCAGGGAAAACCCGGGAAAAACCTTTAGTTTTTTGGGGGAAAAGGGGGGGTTTTAAAAGGGGAAAGGAAATTTAAAGGGAGGAAAGGGTTGGAAAAAAAGACCCCCTTTGGAAAAAAAAGAAAAAAAAATTGGCCCCCAAGTTTTGGTCCCTGGAAAAAAAGTTTCGGGCCCTTTGGGGGGGGGGGGGTAAAGGGAATTTCCCTTAAGGCCGCAAAAAAAAAAGGGTCCCCCCCCCCCCCCCCCCCCCCTTTGGCGGATTTGGAACCACGGTCTGACTTCGACAACTTGTTTTACAATGAACCCATAGCGTTATCGGAGGCACGACCTGTGTTCTAACCCGTCCCCCACCCCCCTTATCCTATCCTATATCCTATGCACCCTTTCCCTGCTGCCAGACGCGGCCCCCGGGGAGAAGCCCAGGGGTATCAAGACCCACCTGCGGAACATGCTCATCGTGCCCGAGATGATCGGCTCCATCGTCGGTATCTACAACGGTCAGTGCCTTTTTACCGGCGGGGATTTTTTGGCAACGGGCATCCCGTCCTACATCGCACTCTTGCCTGTTATGAGACAGCCCGCATGTACCTTACACTGATATCCCCGATACATACGACCCACGTCTTTCCCCCCTCCCTTGCACCTGAGGGCATGCAAACATGAGTACGCCGCCGCCCCCCGCCCGTCCCCCCCGCTGTCTGTCGCCTCGTGCTATTCCTGATTTTTTCCCTCTCCCTCTCCCCGGAACGATCAGGAAAGTCGATGAACGGCGTGGAGATCAAGCCCGAGATGGTCGGCCACTACCTCGGCGAGTTCTCCATCACCTACAAGCCCGTGCGCCACGGAAGGCCCGGGATCGGTTCCACCAACTCGTCCCGTTTCATCCCGCTCAACTAAACCAGCGGCAGCATGTCGTAAACGGCATGGCAAGGGGCGATGTGGCCTGCCTACAACGAACCGCGGAAGCCTAGTGAAGCTTGGAAGCGTGTGCTCTGTCGTGCAAGCGTAGCTTAGCTTTGTGTTGTGCCTACCGTGCTTCGTGGCTTAGCCTACCCTACTTGTAGTGTTGTTTGTACGGGGGGGAGCATCACGTCATGGATGGCGTGACTTGAGAGAGTGTCGTCAATTTTTTTGACTACCACAAAAAAATACAAAAATGCAAACAAAAACAAACAAGATTGCGGCTGCGCTTGGCTCGCGAAGTCGGGGACTGCGGTGCGACGGTCGAAGAACGGTTTCTTCCGGGTTGGCGCCATGTACAGGATTCTTTCACCCGTCACTATCTAGCTTGCTTGGTTCTTGGCCTCGGCGATCCCAACAACGGGCATATTGTGCCACAGGTCAAGTTAAGGAGATGGCTAAGCTCCGTCGCCCCCAACGAGCCCTTGGCATCTCTTCCTTCCCAACAATACTCGGCCGAGGGAAAACGATGCACATTGCAACTGACGAATAGGAGTACACTCTGCAAGCCCGTGCTCGGGAATATCTCCTCCTGGAGTATGATCGGTACCAACTTGTTTGTTGATTTCGACAAGTTTCTGGCATCACATCGCAAAGAGCACAAAAAACCAAAGACACCGAAAAACTGCTGTAATATTTACCAAGGTCTTTTCGGTGTGAAAGCGGGAGTCGGATCACAGGGCCGCCTACCCATAGCAGTCTGACATATGGCATTTGAGCCAGGATAAGAGGGGGCTCGATCTGTCGTTGACTTCTGTTGACTTGCGAGCCCTTCGGATCCATTTTTATTTTGTCTACCTTTTTTTGGGTAAGTTAGCCTGTGACTGCTGTGACCACGGCATCGACCCTGTCAAGTGAAGACATGGAGCTACGTGAAGAAGGTACCGGGGGCAGAGAGAACGGAACGAACCAACAACAGAGGGCGGGGGCTCTCTTTTTTTCTCTCGCGGAGCCCCGCCAAGCAGACAGAGTCACACCGACGATCCACCTCTCCAAAGACGGCGAGAGACGAGAGTGAGAGGCGTGTACGACATGATAGGCTACGCCTTGTCCGTGTGGGCCGTGGCAGCTGTCGGGGGGTATCTTCCATATGTTGGTGAGCACAGGAAGTAGTAGTAGCAGCAGCAAGGAGCCTGCTGTGTGCCTGCTGATGATGCTGCTTTCACTCGAACGAATGTTCTTACTGATGCCTGCCTGCTGCTGTGCATTCTGCCGCCGATGCATACCGTGCATCAACCCTTAGACCACCGGTGGGAAGGACTGAAATTGCACTCGATTGCGGCTCGGCAATCTCAACCCAACGAAGTGCACATGGTGATATGGTCGCTACATACAGCAGCAGCAGCAGCAGAGTTTTGCTGCTCCGGGTGCTTCTGGCAAGGTTGCGTTGCCTCAAAGTCCTGCTTGTCGGACAGAGCAGCAGCGGTTGGGACTTGTAAAGTGTCTACAAGTACCACCGCTGCTGTTGTTGCTGCTGCTTCTGCCTTTGTGTGGATAACGGCATCGGGAAAGTAGTATGCAATACTTCCAAACCCAACTACACTTGATTCTCACGGAGAGTAGATTCTGCTTTGGAAGAGGCAGCGGACGGGTTTATTTTTGTTGTTGTGCCGCACCCCGTGCCCGCCGGGACGGGCGTGTACTGCCAAGCAATTACCGTAGGTTGCATAAAGGTATCTCACCCCCTGGACCGATTTTCAGAGCTCGATTACTTCACGACGAAGAGGATGCCGAAATTGAAGTATTCGTTACCGGGATGCTCTAGCACGAGAAGGTTCCATCCAACGCCGCCGTTTTCGGCACCGCCAATGCTTTTCCTGCCGATATATCGAGCTTCGAACATTGGTCCAGGCGGTGTGATACATGTATATCTTTGCAACCTACGGCAATGGGCGCCGATGTATGGAAGATGACGTGTAAGTATTTTGTATTTTATGCTCAGCGTGCACCCGCTCCACAGGGTTGTTGTGTTGGTGTGGAGTGCGGTCTACTGAAATCGTACCCTTGAGTAACACCGAATAGAGTATCTACATCGACGTATCTTGATCTATGGAGGAAAACTACAGCAGTACTGAAAAACTATTGGAATACTCTGCTGCGTAGTCTAGCTCACTGTTGTCTATCTACTCTTTCTTGTAGGGCGTGGCGAAAGGGTGCACGTTAACCAATCTCTCTCTCTCCCTCTCCCCCTCTCTCTCTCTCCCTCCCTCTCTCTCTCTCCCTCTCTCTCTCTCTCTCTCTCTCTCTCTCTTTCTCTCTCTCCCCCTTCCCTCTCC